TGTAGGGGCTGCCGTTGGCTTCCCAGCCGCCTCAGCGCCGCGTTCCTGCCTGGCTGCGGCGGCGGGGGGGTCCCGTTAGCAGTAAGTGCGCTGGGCAGGGCTGCGGTGCGGAGCTCGGGGATAAAAATGAAACCTTTTACGTTGCGTTCTTGATCACTCGTTCTCTAGGTTTTACAAACTTTTTTACAGAGATCTAACCTTGAAGGAGCGCTGGGTAAGGGCAGAGCTGCCCTTACTGTTGCAGCGATACTTTATTCTTATGATCCTACTAACGTGAGGAATTAGCATTTCTTAAAACTCAGTGTAAAATGCTCGTGGTCTTAAGTCCGGCCGCTTATTTCTGTCAAACACAGAACACCTCTAGAAAGGGAGGATCAGAGATGTTATCTTCACAGAATGAAAACGATCACAGTTGGCAGCCTTCTCCCTCTGCTGTTTTTCATCATTGTGGTAGTAGCATTACTTGGGGGGCACACACATCTTTCGCGTACTGTCTTTTGTTCGTGCTCTGCCCGTAAGTTTGTTTTCTCCCAATTTTAAAGTGTATGTGTGTACTGATGAGTATCAGTAAAGGGCGCCGGGGTGCCAGGCCCTTGTTTCTAGTTGTTTCTGTGAGAGAGGGCTCTGGGTACCTGTCCAGTGGAGCACTATCTCCATGTGACTTGGCAAGTCGCCATACCTTTCCCTCTAAATCGAAGCAAGTTCCTTCTTCCTGACCCCTGCTTGTTGGGATTCGGTGCTTGCATTTATCTAGCACATGGGAGTTAGACTGCTGTTTCTGAAATGCAGCCAAGTAGCAGTAAGTAGTTGGGGGGGGACGACACAAAACAAAAACCCAACCAAAAAAAAAACCCAACAAAACCCCCACCCTAACTCTGCTTGAGCAAAGGCAGATATTGAAGCAGTCAAGGTAGAAGTATGCCTACCTTCCTATTTTTAGGGGCTTAAACCTAAAGTTTCTTGTAAAGTTGCAGTCTGTTTGTAGAAGTCAATACAAGTAACAGCACTTTCCGCTCCAAACTTTGGAGGCTGTATGTCATCATGTGAAATGCTAAGGTTTGAGTACCTGAAAAAGACTGATGTGGGGTACCTGGCTAGACTTTTGCTGCTTTACTATAAAACACTCCACGAATAAAAATGCAGCTGTCCCAAGAGGTCCTGAATCGTCATTAAATCTGGTTGTGAACTGAATCAATATATTACGTATAATCGATAACCATGGTCCCCGAGCTAGAGTAACTAAGGGTTTGGGATTAAAAGCCTGTGGAGCTTTTCAGCCAGAGGAGGAGGCTGCTCCATCTGGTGGTGGTTTATCCCCCCCAGCTGGAGTACATCTTCCTGCTGCTGAACTGTTAGGATTGTCCACCATCTGCTTGTGTCTTTAGCAATTTCTGATGCAATCAAAGGTGGCGTATGTTTGCTACTATTAGAAATAAATGCTCAGCAGTTTTTTTCAAATATTAACTTCTCTCAAAAGAGAAATCACTTTTTTTTTTAAACTCTTTTAAATTGCAATTTCATTGTAATGTTCCTCTTGTTACAATGTACAATTATTTCCACAGGCAGGAAAAGCATTTAGGAAATTTCTTCCCCTCTTTGATCGTGTTCTGGTTGAGCGATGTGCGGCTGAGACGGTAACCAAAGGAGGCATCATGATTCCAGAAAAAGCTCAAGGGAAAGTGCTACAAGCGACAGTAGTAGCAGTTGGATCAGGAGGCAGAGGAAAGGTAAATATCCTGAAGCGTTACATTTGGGCAAAATTAGTAATGGTGCGGTGGTAGCTGGAATATTATCATAAGAAAGGGATGGTTGCAGTGTAAATGTAGTGATAGCTCACAAAAAAGGATGACGGCGATGACTGAAGCTGGAAGTACAGGCTCAAAGAGGAGGTGGAAATCTCAAGTTCTCCTGACTGGCTCCAGCCTTGAATTCCAGCATTCCTTTCGTCACTTGTAAAATGGAAAATACTTGCCTTTTAAAATCAATATTATTTATTTATATTTAAGCCGCTTTACGCAGTAGTGGTGTGGGTTTTGGTGGGTTGGTTTTTTTTTTTTTTGCTTTTTTTTGTGGTTTTGGTGTTTTTTTGGTTTTGGGTTTTTTTTTTTGGGGGGGGGGCAGTTTTAAATACATAAACGGTGTTTTGCAGGGTATCTTGTTTCATCGCTTCTCAGCCAAAACCTTGAAGGACCGGCAGCTGCCTTTGTTAAAATGATTACATGCCCGAATTTCTGTGACTTGTGAGCAGGGTGGAATCCCAGAATGTGGCATTTGCTGTCTTGTGCTGTGCAAAATATCATTGTCCATAAGGATTAGGCTTACTGGACAAAAGAAAATCGGGAATCGAAAGAAATAAGCGTTAAAAAAATTTTTGTTAATTTTGCATGTTGAATACGCGTTTGGGATCATAAACAAAAACAGTTTTCACTTAACAACAATGCCAATAGCTGTGGGCTTCAGCATCAGAAGGGTTTTTTTCCCCACCAAAGTAGTGTTTAGTTAGCAGCAATAATGGAAAACAGGTTAAATGTCAACTCGGGCATGTTGACTCGGACTTCTTCTTTGCCATGAGTATCTCCATACATATCACGCTGTTTTGTGTCAGTATCTGATTTTTAAAGCTAATATAATTAAACTTTATCAGGTGTTTCTCAACAACTGATTTGCCAGCAACAGTGACAAGTTGATCAAAGTAAGAAAGATGGGAAGGTACTTTTAACTGGCACGTGGAGAAATGAGCGTCGGCTATAGAGTATGGAAACGGACTTTCCCCCTTCATTTGAGAAGGGGGTTTCATGGTCTGTCACTTAATTTCTCAGGTTTCTTGAGTGGTTTTTTCTTTAAGTGAAGTCCTATTCAGTATGTCAAGCAAAGATGTCACAGTTGTATTTACACTGAAAACTAAATGAAAATCAATTATATTCAGAAAATCACTGCAGTTCTACTGCCTAAATATTGCAGGACTCCCATGCTTGAGAACTGAGTGGTGTGCTTTTCTTCCTAGTAAACCCATATATTCTAGTTTCACTGTACAATGAAAATACAGAGTTGTTGTGATTTCCTGAATGTTTTATATGTGGATGGATCACTGTAGTTTGGAGGAATTCTATTACATCTGTCTATATTGTGGAAAACTAAGGATTTCTTTTTTCTTTCAGAACGGTGAGATTCAGCCAGTGAGTGTAAAAGTTGGTGAAAAGGTTTTGCTACCAGAATATGGTGGTACTAAGATTGTACTAGAAGATAAGGTAGGTTTCCCAACTTTGTGAATGCAAATTAAGCTGGTTCCCAAAATGTCGTACTGCCAGTGATAAATACTGTAGTTACTTCATAGGGTTAGCAGCATTCAAGAAATGCAGTTGTTGGTATTCTAGCGGCAGCAGCTGAATCCAGCCAGCTTCTGGTACCTGGGGTACTTGCTGCTTCCACCCCTGCTTAAAAGGAAGTAATCAAGGAAACCTCTGGCCTGACTTCTCCTGGGTGGATGAAGTGGCTCCGTATGCCAAGCATATAGTAGAGGGAACCCTAAAAGGCTTTGAAATTACTGGGGGTATCCTTGCTTTTGACAGGGAAAACTTGCAGAATTCTCTTGCAATGGTTCTTGCACTTCCTACTACTAAAAATAGTAACTTGGTAGCTTTCCCAAAGAGTAACTTATGAACAACAGAAAAAAATCGTTTCAAGAAGTCAAGAGGTAGAGCTGGTGTTGGTTAGCTCGCTTTTGATTTTGTACTTCAGGACTGTGGTAGCCCTGACTTCAGAACAAGGCAGTATTTGCAAAACAACTGATATGACAGGCACTAATGTTTCTTTTCTTTGCAGGACTACTACTTGTTTAGAGATGGTGACATTCTGGGGAAATACGTGGACTAAACTTGTTGCGGTATCAGTCATCCATTCCACTAAAATGCTGAAATTTTTCTTTCATCATGTAAATAACGTCCTTTGTTTTATAATAAGCAGGCACTGAGTCTCTGAAATAATAACTTGTGATCTCACTGTAATGATGGAACACAAATAAAAATATGTACAGTCAGAAATCAGTTGCTTTTGCTTGAGTTCCATTGAACAGTGAAATAGAGATGACCACCAACCAGCCTTAATTATTCCAAACAACATCATTTTATATCCTTATCTCTCTACTGAGATTGTAAAGGTCTTTACAATAAACGTCTAAAACTGTTCTGCTTCTGTCTCAGTTTCTGCTGTTGCTCAGTGAAACAGTCTCAACTGTGTAATGAACTAACCTCTCTGAAGCAACAATTCAATTGTAGTAATACGTTGTTTTCCCTAAACTTGTATGAAGCTGGGAGATGAGTTTAAAATGGTTGTCGCGCAGATGCAGTGATGAAGGGGACTTTCAGCTAGCTCCCTCGCACATTCAACTTTATCACACTACAAGTATCTTAAAAGACAATTTATTGTGTAATGAAACACAAACTCATTGAGAAGCATTATCTTCCACTAGAGCAAGCGTGCCTTTATCTTCCATGATAAGGTAGCTACTCTGGCGTAGTCACACACCAAAGAGGGGAAGGTATTTAGCATATTTACAAACTACTTACTTACCTTAGGGAAACTAGATGACATCTCAATGAGAAAAGGATGCAGTTGGAAGCAACTCCCAAGAGAAATGTTTAGGCCTAACGTTTCAGCATGTCTTTCAATGATATCTTTTAGAGACACACTTTATGTACAGTCCTCACTCACAGCAAACAGTTTTGCAATGTTTACAGCTCTTGTTTATGAGGAGCAACTACAATCTGGGTGGGTACAATCGGAGGGCGGGTGACCCAGAGGTAGCACGTACCCCCTTAGTACCTCCACTGCTTACCTTCACCCCCAAGTGCCGTACTCCTCGGCCAAGGCAGTGCCACTGGACCAGCCCGCTCCCTGGCAGGGTTACGCTGAACTCGCACTGCAGTGTTGCCAAGTGTGGACCATGCAAGTCTCCCTTCCCCCTGACCCTACCCCCAACCCATGCTTTCAGCCCCAGCAGATTTTCAGCAGCTTGATACCACGCTTATTTAATAAAATATTTAGCATGGCTGTATCTACCAGTGTTTACGTAACTGATTTAAAACAAAAATCACAGTTTCACGAAAACTTTCATGGGAGTAAGTAATTTATGGATGTGGGAAAATAAAAAAGCATTCCTAGGCCTAATCAAACGGAGGACACGCTTGAGCATCTGATGGCTTGATAGAACATTTTATTCTTGCACCATGAGGCTATCACTGCGAGCAAGGACAAGGTAACTATTGCACAGCCAAGGTGATCCATCTGCTGTTACTGCTTTTTAGTCCACGACTGCACGCCAAATCTATAACCCCCCAGGTGCTACAGGGGAGGACAGAATGAATCACAAATGCTCTTTCTTTGCTGTGTTGTTCCTGTAGGAGTTCAGACTTCTTTGTTCCAGGGTTTTCTAGGCTCTTTCAAAGCTCCAATTTTGGCAAAAATGTTACATATTGCCCTACCCGCTTTTTTGGGGGATACAGTCTTTCCCAGCCTTTCCTTAGGCTGTCTGAATCATAAGGAAACAAAGTGGACTCCCATCTACTTTTGCTACTTTCTTAACATTTCAGAACAGCTTCCATTAGCAGCAGCTATGCTGTTTTCAAAAAACCTTTATCCTCCTGATTATGCTATCCTGCCACGGTAAGAAAAGGATGAAACTTACATGCTAGTAGAGAAGAAAGGTGGGCCAGGTCCCTAACAGCACAGGAATAGTCAGTCAGGTTTTGACCAAATATTCAATTTTTCTTGAAGATCATGAGGCAATAAAGACCAGGTGAAAACCAAAAAGTTAAATTACTGTTGATCAGGTTCTGTTTAAAAACAACTTGAAATCCAATAAAACAAAAAATAATGAGCAGCTTCCAGGAATACAGGTTTAATTATCAAGGGGCAACAAGAAACCTACAGACTTTAACATCCTCATTGAGAAACATTGCAGATTTCTTTCCTCCTGCAAAACCGTGAGCCAGTTGCAGATTGAACTAACAGATATGTATTTCTTTCTGAGAGGTATTTCTTCACAGCCAGATTTATTGGCATTTTAGAAGCAAGATGACCATGAAATAAAAGTCAGGGACAAATGGAAATGTCAAATACCCAACTCTTCTGTGCTTTAGATATCAGTTAAACCTTGAAAATGATGATAGAAAAAAAAACCAAACAAGCTGCTGAACTTTAAGGGATTTAAACAGTTAGAATTGCTTTTATTTTGGGACTGGCTAATTATAATATCAATCTCATAAAAAATTAATGTTGGATTACAGCTGATCTAATGAGGTATAGGACATTTGTACCCTTCATTATAATGCACTAATTTCTCCCAACGTTATTAACCTTTTCATGGTTTCTTACACAAACTGCTAGGAAGTGCTGAGTTTCACCATGGGCCTCGAATAGCTAATGCCTCTGGGTCAGGAATGCTGACCAGGAGTAAAAAAGTAACTGAGGCAAACTGAACTCTGGTGCCTAAAGTTAGGAATGCCACCTCTGTGTTACAGTGTAATGTGAACGGAGCCCCCCCATTGCTGTCACTATAAACTGCTGATTAGCTGGGTGCATACACCCCGGGGCAGGGGGTGACCCTATTACCTATTTCTCATCGCTTGCACATCCACATCGTCCAGCTTTCAGCTCTATGTGCGCCTCCAGAACAAGGCAGGATCCTGGTCATGGCATTGCCCAAGCAAAACAAACTATTCAAAATGCACTTTGCTTTCTGATGGGAAAACCCAATTACAGATTTTTTCAATGTTTTCAATCCAGGAACGTTTCACATACTCTGTCATTGGGTAGAAGGAAGAGGTTTTAACATGGGGAAGCACATGTTATTTAGAGCAAATGAACTGAGTGAGGGGGGGAAACCACACCTAGCATTCGCTCTGTAATGCAGTGGAAGTAGGGGCAGCATCAGGTGCCAGCATTCTCCACTTTTCAGGAGACAACACACAACTGCAACCATTTATTTATTGATTGTATAAGGGGAGGTATCTCGTCTCTACCTTGTTGCTTCATCATTCTTGCTTACAGACAGAAGCAATTCACCCTTACTTACCTATTCTGTACTCCTTCCTACTGTCTATTCCCTAAAAACAGAGCAGCTTCCAAATAATTTTCTTCTCACTTATCCTACAGAAATAATGAGAGCTACTTTAGTCTTCCAAAATGTCTACCTGTTTGTAACAGGGACCTATTTATCAGCCAACTATAAGCTAACAGTGCCTTTTTTATGTTTTCTTCCCAAATATAGTCAACATGTGTAACACCCGACTTAGTAGACCTTGAAACCCAAGCTAACTCTGTTTTCCATTAGCCCAGCAGTCTGTGACCTCTGTACACCCAACTCACAAGTCTGTCAATCCTGCCTTTGAAGACCTAGGAAGGCTTCGTACCTACTTTCTTTGAAGTATTTTGCCCCGAATTGCTGTTGCTGGGGTTTTTTTAATTAATTATTTTTACCATTAACAATTACATATCTTTAATATAGGACTCGCAACGCTTTTTTTTAAAATTCACACCCTTATGGTTTGTATTGTACAAAATTTCATAGACCCAGTTGTGTCGTACAGAGACTTGTATAGAGCAAGTGGGGACTGACCTTGAGGGAGAGCATGCACAGTCAGATCCCGGCAGAGGGATACTGACGAAACGGGATGAAATCTGAAGGATGCGTTTTCTCAACAACCAGCCATCTCGTTAATCTCTGGAGACTTCGTCTCACAAAACCAACAACTCTGCTCACCGCCGCAGCCCTGTCATCGTGAAACCAGCCTCACCCTGCAGCTCACGCGTCCTCGGGCAGGCACCGAGCGGTCTGTGCGATCGGCTTATTAAAGAGCGATCCGGACGGAAAGTGGCCGGGACGATTAAAACCATCCCCATCTCCTCTGTGTGTGTGTGTGTGTGCGCGCGCGCGAGGTGTTGTCCCTCACGAAGCTAAGGCCCACGGGAAAGCTCTGCTTTCAAAGGCGCTCCCCAGGCAACCCGCGGGTGCCCACACGGCACCGTCCCACAGAGAGGCCCGAGCCGCCAGGCAAGCGGCCACGGCTTCCCCGGGCCCCCAGCCCCGCGCGGGGAACGGCTCTTACGCGCACCCCCGCGGCCAGGAGAAGGAGCAGCACGTACCGCGCCG